GAGAAGGTGCCCCAGGTGCCTGGCTGTACTCCAAGCAATTGAAGTTCCAATGGATTTGCAGGAGGCAGCCGAACGCCGTGAAGAAGAACGAGAGGCGGTGGCGTCGAGGAAGGCAATGGGTCATGGAGCTACTAAGGCGTTGGTGCCTGCGCAACAGGTCATACACATCAAGCTCGCCGACCACATCGAACAACATCAGCTCCAGCTCTCGCCTGCGCCGCCCACAGCAGCGGCCCCTCAAGCAGTGACGCCACCAGCAAGGACATTCATACCGTGCAGGCCCATGGTTACTACTGCTATCTTTCTGCTGCACCTTTTTTCAGGCAGACGCCGAGCGGAGGATTTCCAGCACCACTTCGAGATGAACACTCGGGAATGCAATTTGGTAGTATTATCAATCGACGTGCAGATAGACCCCGACAAAGGAGACCTGACGAAGCCAGACGTCGTCGAGTTTTGGTGCGCGGCGATACGTCAGGGCAAAATCTTCGGCATTGTAGCGGGCCCCCCCTGCGAGACGCGGTGCTCATCGCGCTGGCATGCCGCCGAGGGAAAAGCTCCACGCCCATTGCGTACACACGACTTCCCCTGGGGCATACAAGCAGCCAATCAAGCGGAGCTCCAACAGCTAGCACTAGCCAACGAGCTATACAGGACAGCTCGACTACTCATCACCACTGGCTTGCAGTACAATGTATCCGCTGTACTCGAGCATCCTGCTCCAGCTACATGGCGTCCTCAAGCGCCGAGCAGCTGGCAGCGAGCGGAGACGCTGTGGCTGCTGGAGCAGACGAACGTCGAACTACACTACATCGACCAGTGCCAGTTTGGGCAGGCCGCGCGAAAGCCAACATGTCTGATGGCGGTGCACCTCAGCGAACTCACACAAGAACTTGGGGCAGTACCTGGGGGCAGCGGCGCCGACATAATGGACGCGACAGAGCTTGCGGACGAGACGGCCAGGGCGGCTGGAGGACCGCCCCCCTCAAAGAATATCCTTCAAAGTTGTGCAAGGCAATGGCAACGGCCTTCGCAGCCCACTGGGGGCAGCTCGCTGACGAAGAGACATTGTGGGCCGAAACGGATGAATGCTACCACAGGTTTTATGCCCCCCTGGATTATTACATCGAGCCAGAGCAGCTGGGCCACGACTGTCACAGGACATGGGATACCCACCGGCGCTAGCAGTTGGCACTGCAGCGCGCGGTACTACGACTGCCTGCACATATATTTGGGATAAAGTGTTGTCTGTATTATTTCGTTTTTGCCAGTCCACGGGGCGGTCCATCAGATTGCAGACTGGTGCGCAGATTATTGGCAGCTTACAGATTGGATTGCAGTTTGTATTACAGAATGGTGTACAGATTGGTAATATTACAGAGTGGCAGCAGGCGAGAGAGGGTCAGCGTACCCACTGTATGTACTCTAACTGGGAGTGACCTGAGAGGATATTTGTTCATCAGCATGGCTGCGTCATGGACTGCGATTGCGTGCCATTCTCGAGGGGGGGGGGCCCGTAGCGCCCATGCGGGTGGGCACGATCCCTCAATGGCGACGGAGCGTGCCCCCCCTCGAGTATTTCTATTGGATCTTTATTGGTTTTTCTTTCAACTTTGGCATCTGCTTTTTATGAGTATCTAGCGCCCTGGGTAAGGGCAGCATAGCGCCCAGGCCCCACCGTATATGTTCCGACATCTCTGGACATCTCTTCGCAGGCGGGCAGCAAGACCGTCGAGAGTACCCAGACCCGCGCAACTACATAGTAAGCAGGTCAAGCAGTATCAGCGAGCAGCATGTGGGAGCCGAGCATCCCAGTCCAATGCAGCGTGGAGTCAAGCACCATCATGTCGACCAGTACGTTTGGGTCAAGCACATCATGGGGTGGTGCTACTGAGACAAGTATGACTACGGGCCCTATGCTACACTATTTCGAACACCACAGGCATGGGCACGGTCACAGTTGGATACGGCAGTACATTCGTGGCAAAGAGCTTTCTCGGCGACAAGCACTACGGCGTCATGGCTTAAGTCCTGAGGAAGCCCCGAATGCGTGGGAAGACCTCAGGCAGCGTCGCCAAGTTTTGCTTGGGTTAGGACGCAAGTCCTGGGGAAGCCCCGAATGCGAGGGAACACCCCAGGCACAGGTCGCTACGTTTTGCTGTGGGTATCCTGGCGGTGACTGGTTACATACAACTCGGAGGACACCTGCTGGCTGGAAGCGGGCGATCCACACGACGCCGCCGCACTACTGTCCGACACTGACATCATACCCAGCACGGCCCTGCACACCTTTTGTCAAGTCAACGCTGCCCTGGTGAGGCATGGATCAAACTTCGAGACGGGCTCGAAGGGCGGGGGGGAAGGACGAGTACTTCCCGCGCCCACCAGGGGGGATGGTGAGGGGCAGGGGGGGGGTAGGACGGCCACTACCTGCGCCCCCGCGGTCCGCCCTAGCTCGCCACCCCCACCATTCCCATGGAGAAGGAGGAGCTACCCGAGCGCCCGAGGGCGAAGCACAGGACAGCCGAGACATTCCACTCCGACAATAATAAGTACCAGGCCTGGAGTTCGCCCCCACCGAGGGCACTGTGACCCCCAGCCATAGCGGGACGAGGTGGGACAGCCAAGGCCCCCACTTGAAGTCGGTGCATGGAGGCCATGGACGCCCACGACCATCAACACAACACGAGCAACGAGCCGACCCCCCAACGACCCAACCAGCACGCTCCACAACCCACACTCAACCAACAAACAAACGACCGCCACATCACAACCACTCCTCTGCATCAGCGCCTACCTGTACTGTAGCGTCGGGGGCGACATGACTGAGGGCATTGGAAATACCACGGCTGGTTACTATGATGACCAGCAGGACTGGACATGGCATACGCAGGAGTACCACCTCGACCAGCACGACTGGGACGAGGTATACAAGTTCGAGCACTACAGAGTCAAGCAGTACTGCAGGCTCGAGCACATCAGAGCCTACCAGAAGAGAAGGGGCAGCTTGCCCCTCGGCGTGGGATACACAGCGCGAGGCGCCGAAGGGTGTATCCCCGCCGCCCTCGCGTGGCATGCGAGGGGCCGAGGCCAGCCGGCCCTAGACGGCAAGTTGATGAGAGAGCAGCCGCCAGTGCAGGCCTGCTGGAGCCCACGAGCGGCTCGGCGAGCCTCCACAGCGCGCTGCGCCGAAGGGTGGAGGTCGCCACCGCGGGGGGCAGCCAGTCACCCGAAGCAGCCCCCACGGCGGCTGGGCTCAGCGCGCCGCGCCGAAGGGAGCCCAGCCGCCACCGTGCGGCCGCCGGCCCACGACGAGGCCGTCGGCCTGGCCGTGCGCCGTGCCGCGCTGCCTGACGCCCGCGGGCGCGGGCGCGCGCGGCGCCCGCCCAGGGGCCCTGACGGGCCCCTCTTTTTTTCTGAAACCCGGCCCCCTCCTCCCTCCTCCGAGGTTTAAGTCTGGTCCCTGGTCCTCCCTGCTCTCCTCGGGGTCGGGTTCCCGGGGCCGCTGTTCGAGTGCCCGCACGGCCCTTGTGGGCCGCTGCGGCGCGCTCCGCGCCCGCGGGGCGCGCGATAAGACGCTGTGTAGCGAGAAACGTCAGAAACGTCAGGAGGAGGAGGAGGAGGAGGAGGAGGAGGAGGAGGAGGAGGAGGAGGAGGAGGAGCAGCAGGAGGAGCAGGAGGAGCAGGAGGAGGAGGAGGAGGAGGGCCGAGTTTGGTTCACCGCCGAGCCCGCACCCTTCTCTGGAGGGGCCCAGCCTGGGGCCCGCGCATGCGTCGTCGTGGGGTGGCGACAGCGCTTTTGAAAGATAGGAGGGCCTGCTGTGGCGAGTGGGCTTCTCAGCATACTGCCAGTGGCACAGTGCTGGCGCCTAGGTGGGTGCCGCCCAGGAAAAGGGAAGGGCGGAGGGGGGGGGAGGGGGATACGAAGGATGGGGAGGGGGGCAGGATCAGCAGGCTGAGGAGCAGGGTAGGGGAACCTGTTCGCTGAATGTGGAGGGGGCGAGAGAGGAGAAGGAGGAGTAGGAGGAGGAGGATGAGGATGAGGATGAGCGGTAGGAGGAGGAGGAGGAGGAGGAGGAGGAGGAGGAGGAGGAGAGGAGGAGGAGGAGGAGGAGGAGGAGGAGGAGGTGAGAGGAGGAGGAGGAGGAGGAGAGGAGGAGGAGGAGGAGGAGGAGGAGGAGGAGGAGGAGGAGGAGGAGGAGGAGGAGGAGGAGGAGGAGGCGGGAGGAGGAGGAGGAGAGGAGGCGGAGGAGGAGGAGGAGGAGGGAGCAGGAGGAGGAGGAGGAGAGGAGGAGGAGGAGGAGGAGGAGGAGGAGGAGGAGGAGGAGGAGGAGGAGGAGGGGCAGGAGGAGGAGGAGGAGGAGGAGGACGACGACTTCACTTTCTCCAGGCGGCTGGGTTGAGGTTTTGATCAGGATGGGTTCCTCTCCTTGTCCCTCGTGCTGGTCCGCCACCGCTTGTCTTGCTGCGCCGTTCTCTTGCTGGCGCAGCCCCGCTGCCATGCGGCCCGTGCGGGCGAGCGGGCGAGCCGTGAGGCCCGCAGACCGACGCCTCGAGCGCTCGCCCCCGCGGCTCGGTCGAGAAGAGGAGGAGGACGACGATGAGGAGGAGGGCGACAACGACGGAGACAAAAGCTGCGGCGATGACGACGGCACCGACGACGGTCGACAGACGACCGACGACCTGCGGCCACCGATCGACCAATGACCGGCGACGACGGCGGCGACGGCAGGCCGACGGCAGACGACGGCCGGCGGACGAGGGATGCCCAGCCAGCGGCGACCGACGACGGGCGCCCCCTGGCCGACAACCGTCGACCTGCCGCTGGCGGCCGCCGACCGACGGCCGCCGGCCGCCGACGGCCTGCCACCGACGGCGTCAGGCCACGCCGACGGACGGCCGACGAGACGACGGGCCCTGGCGGCGGCGGCCGCGACGCCGCCCACCCGCGGCGCCGTGCCGCGGGGGAGGGGGGGGGGGGGGGGGCGCCCGCCCCTCAGGCCGCGCTGGGCGCTTCCGAGCCGCCGGCCGCGTGGACCAGGCGGGGCCGTGCCGGGCGGGGCGGCCGAGAGGGCCACGCTGACAGGGTTGACGAGCGCAGTTGCCTCGATACGCCCGTTTTGATGCGCAACACGTCCCGTGTTGAAGACGTCCGTGTCAATACGCTGCGTGTTGCTCCACGTATTGGACCACGTTTTGGCGAGTGTATCGCGCCGGACCTACGTTTTCAGCCTACGTGTTGAGCTCCGTATCAATACGCTACGTGTTCTTGGTTGCGTATCGGGGCAGCTAAGTTGACGAGACGGGGGTCGATTCAGGCGGGTGGTGATGGGCGGTGAGCCGAAAGGAGGGGTGAAGAAAAAGGCCCCTCGAGGGCCCTTTTCTGCGGCACCCCCGCCCGATCGATGCAAACGGGGGCCAGCCACAGCGGCGGATCTTGCAGGGTCCTACGAAGGCAGGCTGGGTTGCATCGGCCTGGGCTAGCGCGCAGGGCCCCGCAGGATCTTGCATGATCTCGCAGGATGCCGCAAAGCCCGACTGCCTCGGGCGTGTATTGACCCAGGCCAGTAGATCCCAGCGCTCGGGTGGAGGCAGACTGCCACGAGTCGCGCATTGAGCTCGAAGAAAGATGAGCAGCATGCGCATCGGAGTGCCGCGCGGACTTCTGGGGTCGGCGCCGGCCTCCTGCCTGGCGGCGTCTCCAGCGCTACTCCTGGCGCGCTCCGCGCGCCAGGTAGGAGGTTCAGCGCAGCTCCAAGAAATCCGTGCGGACACTCGACGGTTTATGTTCAGGCCACTGGTGGCTCCTCTGGAGTCGGGCGCTGAGAGAGCGCCCCACCCAGACGTGTCGGCTGAGGGAATCCGCACCGGCGGGCTCGACACTGGCATGCGAGCATGCCCGTGCGGTTCCGGCCGGCTTCGCTACAGTGAGCGGCTTGAATAAGGAACGCTTACTTTTCAAAAGGGGCTCGGTCGTTCCACTTATCGCTCCTTATGCATTATGTATTATTTATCGTTCCTTTTGCGTTATTCCCTGGAGACAAGGGGCTTCGTTCCTGATTTATCGTTCCTTAGGTCAGGCCGATGACTGTAATCCACGTGCGTTTCGCTGACGCTCGGTTGCGTTTGGATGTCGGTTCACTACCCCGCTGGGGTGCAGTCGGACTGCGGTGCCGTGCGCACGTGGAGTGCCCCATGGCAGCCGTCACGAAAGGGCGTTTTGCTAAAGGGGGCTCTGTCCACCCCCAAGCACTTGGCATCGCTCGGACGTGTGCATTTTTCTTTCGGCGAGGACCATCGAGGAGCATCCTTGATCAATTGGCGAATAAACCACGCACGAAACCGAAACAAACAGGGAATGGACGTCCGAGCGATGGCGATGGCGATGGCGTAATACGTTTCTGTGGTCTGCGGCGAGTTGGGTCCAAGAAGCGGTCGGGCCAACGGCGAGACGCGGCCGCAGCCAGTTGCGGCGAGTGCGGAGGAGAGGGCAAGGACGGCAGAAGGAGGCGGGCGCGGAACGGCCAGGGAACTCCCAGACCACACCAGGCGGAACGGCCAGGGAACTCCCAGACCACACCAGGTAGATCTTCGAGCGGCGCTGGAGGTCGTGCCCATGATCTCGACGACGTCGTAGTAGAAGAGCGGAGGACATGCCGGAAAGCGCGCGCTCTGTGGACGCCGGAAAGGGGGGGGGGTGTTCGAACCTGGGGTCCCCCCCCATGAATTACCAGGGAGGGGGGGTCGGACCAGCCCCCGCCCCACCCCACCCCTTCCCCCCCAAGTGCGAAGTCGGGCCTGTCCCACTACAGGGGGAACGTTCAAAAATAGTAAGAAAATAGTCTGGGGACTATTTTTTCAGTATTCTTCTTACAATTTTGGAATCTGTTTTTGGCTATGTATTAGTTTTCGTCGAAAATCCCCCTGTAGGGGGACAGGCACGACTTAACCCAAGTGGCAAACAACGACGGCGAGCGCCCGCGCCCGCGCTGTCGGGCAGCGGCGGCCACGACGACGACGAGGAGGAGGACGACGCCGACGCCGACGACGACAGCGAAAACGAAAACGAAACCGAGGGACGACGATCGTGCCCTGGAAGGATTCTATCAGGGTTGGACCGGGCCCTGGTAGGATTCTATCAGAGCTGGATCGAGACAACTTATGGGATTCAGTTAGAGCTGGATCCAGCCCTCGTATGATTCCATTCGAACTGGATCGATCCCCCGGGACATTCCAGTAAAAGCTGTGTGCAACCGTTATGGGATTGCATCAGTGCTGGATCGAGCCTGAGTAGGATTCCGCTATAGAGCGTGACCCAGCCCCGATCAGACTGCGAAAGCCCGACGGCCGGTGCCGCCGACCCCGACCGCGGGATCTCGCCGAACCCCGGCTAGCGACCCCCCTCCAGCGGCGCCACACAGGAGGAGGGGGAGGAGTTGGCAGGGGGAGCAGGAGGCGAAGTCGTGCCCGCCCGCGCGCGAGGCTGGCCGGCGCGTGCTCGACCGCGCGGGGGCGTCGCCACAGCAAGGCAGCGACGGTGTCGGAGATGCATAGGGGAACAAAAAGTGGCATAAACATAAAAAAATCCAAAAAATCCGCGCGGATTTCTCGGATCGGCGCTGGGCCCCCCTCCCTGGCGCGCGGAGCGCGCCAGGGGCGGCGCCGGAGGCGCCGCCGGGGGGCCCCAGCGCCGAGCCGAGAAATCCGCGCGGACCTCCGAGTTTTCATGTTTATGCCACTTTTTGTTTCCCTATCATGCAGAGGCGGGCGTGTGCATCCGACGAGGGCTTCTGTACGCCACCACCGTGCCAGGCGGCCAGAGCCCTCCTGGGCCCTAGGCTGTGTGTGTGTGTGTGTGTTTGGACTCTCCTGCCCTCTGCCGGGAGGGCGTATAATTACACCGTTCCATGGCCGGGATGAAACCTGGCTCGGCACGGTGGCGGTGTCCAGGTGCCGTCCTGCGCGTGTGCAGGGCCAGGTCTTCGGCACCGCCTGATCCCGAGGCTGTGCCTCCTCCCGGCCTTGCCGTGAGGCCGCGCTCCTTCTGTCCCCCCCTCTTTGTTAATTCAAGCCTCGCGCGGCCCGCTTAGCTTCGACCGGAAGAGGTGCGCTCTCGACCCGCGGATCAAACAAAAAGTGTGTGCAGGGCCAGCATGCAGGTGGAACTGCTTGGAAGAGGCGGTGCCGAGCGCGGCTCGCTCCCCGCATCCGTCCCCTTCGGCCCATCCTGGGCCGGTTTTGCTGGCGGCGCCCCGCCCGCAGAGTGTCGACATGGCCTTCCAAGGCCCCTGCATCCTCATCGTTCGTCCCCCTTGAGACGGGCTTGTGCAGGGCCGGCATGCGGGCGGAGCTGCTCGGAAGCGGTGGTGCTGAGCCCAGAAGCCGCGGCCCGCCCCCCCGGGGTAGGGGCTTCTTCGACGAGGCCGTGGAGGAGATGCCGCTCCACTCGACAACCTGGCCCGCGTGTGCTCCCGTCGGGGGAGGGGGCAGGGCAGAGTGAGAAGGAGGGGGAGCATGAGGGATGCAAGAGGAAAGGGAGGAGGAGGAGGAGGAGGAGGAGGAGGAGGAGGAGGAGGAGGAGGAAATGACATGAAATTAAGAATGGGCAAGCCGTCAAGGCAGGCAAACCCTAAGATAAAGGGTCAGGAGAAGGGGTCAACACCGCCGTCTCCTCCTCCTGATGCTGCTCCTCCTCCTGCCCCGCCTCGCCGCCGAACACGGCGGCCTTGGCCTCGGACACGGAGTGGGGCAGGGAGTGGGCGTCCAGCCCGTGCTTGCCCGGCAGCTGACCCCGGGTGAGACCTGCATTCCACGGAGGCCCTCTGGGAGACACACACACACACACACACACACACACACACACACACGCACGCACGCACACGCACACGCACACGCACACGCACACGCACACGCACACGCACACGCACACGCACACGCACACGCACACGCCACGCACACGCACACGCACACGCACACGCACGCACGCACACGCACCACGACACAGACAGACAGACAGACAGGACAGACAGACAGACAGACAGACAGACAGACAGACAGACAGACAGACAAGGACAGACAGACAGACAGACAGACAGACAGACAGACACACACACACAACACAGACACACAGACACACAGAGACACACACACACACACAGACACACACACAGACACACACACACACACACACACACACACACACACACACACACACGTAGCCATTTTGGTTCAAGATGATTTGTTCCACAGGGGAACGAGTGGATACCGCTAGTCCGCGGCCAGTGCCAGGGCTTCTCCGCCCGACAGTTTTGTTTCGTGTGTTGGCAAGGGGTAGGCTGTGCGCTGCCCACTCGCCATGTCCAGTGCCTCGCAGAGGGCCAGGTCTGAGCCGCGGGCCAAGGGCGGCGGCGGCAAGGGCAAGAGCAAAGGAGTTGGCAAGGCAGGCAAGACCAACGCGAGCGGGGCCAACCCCCTGGACTACGTCCGCTGTGCGAACTGCTCGTGCAAGTGGAACTTCAAGGCCAGGGTGGAGTGCTACAACTGCAAGAAGCCGCTCAAGCCTGCCGCAGTGGACAAGCCTCCGCAGCTACGGGCATCGGCGTGGTCATTCGTGCGCGAGCCGTGGGTGCGGCACTCTGACGACTGGTTCGGGTACGAGGCACCGCCACCGCAGCCCGCCCCGCCGTCGGATGCAGAGTGCCTCGCGGCGTTGGCGGCCAGGCATCCCGAGCACGGCCAGCAGCTCGAGGCCATCAAGATGGCAGTCGCACCACCGCCCGTTGCGGCCACGGTGTTGCCAGATGTGGCCCTCAACCGCGCCCAGGCCAAGCAGCGGCGGGCTCAAGCCGCCTTCCTCTCCAAGTCCCAGCAGGTCCACGACGCCGAGCAGTGGCTCCAGGCCTGCCGCGAGGAGGAGGTGCGTGCTGGTGAGCTCGTCCTGGCGTGCAACGTGGAGGTGGAGGAGGCCTACAAGGCAGCAGCGCCCAAGGGCGTCCAGGTGCAGGCGCAGGAGGCGCAGGGGCCTGGCGCCAAGACTCAGCC